ACGCGCTCCGTCAGCTTTGTCCCCCCCCCCCCTGTCCGATTCTCCAGCGCTGACTGGCGGAACGGATGGGGAGGGGGCGGTTACAGCTGGCTCTGCCTCTAGATAGGCAGAGCCAGCTGTCACTCACGCAGCTGGATGGATCCAGACACAATTGTCGGGATCCGTTCCGGCTGCGGCGTATACTGAGCTTTGGGTGACGGGAGGACGCTAGTTAGTGCCCTCCCGTTACTCTTAGGTAAACTATGGGGAAAAGCACAGACCCCATAGTTCTCCTTTAAGTTACACTTTAACCAAATTAGAGTTTACCAAGTAAGATCTGTCAGGATATTTAGATTTTTCATTATCTGTTTTACGTTTTTTCATACTGCTCTACCTTATAAACTAAGGGCTGCTGTTTATCAGGGAGAATGTTTGCTAGGATGGTTCTGCAGGCATTGTAAGATACAATATAATAATAGTAACAAAACAGGCTTGGTTATAATAAACAGTGCAAGAATTCAAATAGATTATTGAAAGTAACCAGTCAGAATATTTCTTATACTTGTGTTATCTCTGCAAAGGGAAATCTGATGAGTAGGTGTGGGTTACTGAATGAACACTTTCCTCCTTGCATCGTTTACTGAATAAGACTGCAATTTTTATAACGAGAATTCTTCCTAATTGCTGTAGATGACAGGAAGCCGATCACATGGCTAAGGAACATGTGCAAAATCATGTGTTTTGACAGGCACATCTAAGGGCCCGTTCACACATATAGCAGTGACCAGCGTTTTACCACACCGGATCACCACAGGTCACTGCCGGGACATATAGAAAACATTTGTTTTCTATGGGCTCTGTTCACACCACAACACGGGTGTGGTGGGCGTTGCACTGATATAAAACACAAACATGCTGCATTTTTGCACAGTGCACTGGATACCATTGCAGGTTGCCACATGGCAAGTCAACATGTGCACCTTGTTCACCTTATACACCTTGTACATGCCACATAAAGTTAATTTTAAAAATGCAAATGGTGACATCGGGATACAAGGTACTACTGCCAGAGCTTCCACAATACACCAGCAGCATTTTAGTGGATGGGCTAGTGTGAAAGGACCATTAATGCCCAATGATTGGGCATGCCTCTTTGATGTACTGTCTCTTGTATGTCCACACTCGCATAGCTAATGCTGCAGTGTATGCCTGAAAGTGCAGGATCACACCTATGTGTTCACTCTTTGATTTTAAGATCTGGGGGTTCTTTGTGAGCCAAATTACACTTTTTGTAAGCAGACCTCTGTAGGGGCAGATGAGGCTGCTTCTTCTGTTTACAGGGGGTCCGTGGGAAGTGGGTTTCACTTTGTGATGATACTTTACATAGCAAAGTCCCAGTCAGATAAGCGTTACCACTTCCAGCAGACTCCAGTATTAATAATATAACATTAACAAAAACCTATTTAATAGCAGTAGGTTTTTGCAATGAAATTGAGGAACAAGCATGCATTGTTTAAACTATGCTGAACTAATTAGTAAGTTGTAGACTGTTTACACCTCTGCAATGCAACATCGCAGAAATACATTGTTGTGCATTGTGGTACACTTCATTTGCATGGGCTACCTACTGCAGCTGAATCGCACTGAGTGCTTGCAATTAAAAAAAAAAAAACTCACATCACATAGCTTGGTAATAGGTTACCATGTGGTGTGGTGCAATACTACACACACGTGATAGCTAGGTGTGTTGGGGTACCATTAATAAATAATGGCATCCATCGCACTACACCTAACATTGCAACATGCGATGCAGGATGTGCTCTCGCATTGTGATGAACATGTGAACAGACTTATTGAGAGATTGGTGTTTTCAGGTGTAGAGAGTGCATGTATTTTTCTGAATGATGCTGTATTTAATATGGGTAATGATTTTTAGAAATGTTTATTTTTTTTTGTATTATTTATAGAACCTAAAGAACTGGTTTGTACCTGTATGGGCTCTATAACTGGATTTGTGAACAAGTTTTTAATGTTTTAATATCTTTTTGGTAGATCTTTTTAAAATTATGTATATAGTGATCGGAGAGCAACTAATAAAACATTTCTGTAACATTCCCAAATTTTGTTTTATTTTCTCAAAATTGATGAACCATTTATAAGTGATAAAATATTCATTTCATATACAATAAGCATTGTAGTCTCTGTGGGATCTAAGACCTGGTTGACCACTTCAAACCAAATTTTATTTTACATAGGCAGAGTTTGGTCTAACCTGATCTCTGGCAATCCGATTATTTGACACAATTGGTTAGGCGATTTGGGCAGGATCTATAACAATTTCAATGAGCACAAAAGATGTTGTAAATCTCAAACCACAAACATTATTCATGGCAAGTCTAAAAACCCTTCACTGGAAACACCAGAACTTAATAATTTGGAAGGGTGTCCACATGCTTTTGACCATAGAGTGTAAGTGTAATGGTTAGGGGTTCACAAGCTTTTGATCACATAGAGGGGGATTTATCAAAACTGGAGCAGCTGTATATGTCAACCAATCAGCTTCTATCTTTAGTTTTCAAATCTTAACTGAACAAACAGAAGGGAGAAGCTGATTGGTTGCCATGGGCAACTTCCCCAGATTCTGTCTACTCCAGTTTTGATAAATTCCCCCATAGTGTATTTATTTGGCACATGTTAGTAAATTAGGCTAAATTTATGAAAGCTACCAGAGTTCTGCTAATTGAGGGGTGGTAGCTCAGACCCTGTTTAGTTTTACTGCAATAGCATCAGCAGCATCATTGGTGTTGCAGTAGTTATAGTGCTGTCCTTGGCAGTCACCCTGCATCAGGAGAAAGCAGCAGTGACCAGTCTTCATACAGGAAACTCCTGCTTGGAGACAAAGT